CAACACAAAAGACCGAACTGGAATCGCTCAAGTCAACAGCGAGATCTACATGTCTGAAAATGGTCTTCCAAGCGGGTCTCCTGCAGCGCCTGTTAGGGAAGCACAGCAGCAAAAAAACCGTAACCAAAAAAAAAGAGGCGCGTTTTTGGTGGCGGCAGCAGGCGAGCCGCGAAGAACCTCAGGAAAAACCAAGCCAAGTACGAACAGGCGTCGGGGCAGTCTGTGTACGCCGCCTGCGCAGCGTCAAACACACGGCGTGCGGTCGAAAGGGGCGGTGTTGCCGCCGCACAGAAAGCGCTGACAGAAAAGGAGCATGAGTTGGTCGAAAGTAAACAGCGCGAGGCGGCAAGCACCGCTGAGTGCAGCATGGCTCAGGAGCTCGCGCGCGAGAGCACCGAGGCGCTAAAGGAGGAGAAGGCTAAGAGAGCAGAGGCAGAGCGGTCGCAGCAAGAGGCAGAGCGGAGGAAGCAAGAGGCTGAACGAGACAAGGCGAAGGCGGAGGCGGTGGGCGTAGATGATGGGTGCTTCCTCGCTGCTGCTGTTTTTTTCGCCAGCAGCAGGAGGAGCACTGCTTCCTCCAGCAGGAGTCCGCGCGGTCCCACCGCCCGGCGGCTGTTCGAGTGAGCCACCAGGCATGTTTGCTAGGTTGCGGACGGCGCTAGGGTGCCGCTAGGGTGCCGTGTGCAACCTCCACGGCACGGCGGAACGCGTTCACACACGCTTCGCGGTCGCGGGGCGTCAGGTGTTTTTTGGTTCTGGCGGGGTTCTTCGGAGCGTTCGATTTGATTTTATTGGCTCGAGCGATTTTCCATCTGGAAGATCCAGGACACTTGTCGAAAATTTTTCCTGTAGGAAATTTGACCGATTGGCACCCCTCCGTGGCATGTGTGCCATAGTCTGTCCCGTGTCTCGATGTGTTCGTTGCAAAGGTCAGCAGCAGCCTGCCATCGTACTTCAGCTCATCACGCCCATATGTGCCCATGACCCCCTCATCCTCTTCATCCTCTCTCCTGTCTTCGCATTGGCGTCCATCAGGACGCACACGAGGCTGTCAAGTTCCCAGACTCTTCGTTGGAAATTTATTTCGCCAATTTTCGCCAATGGAATTTTCCTGCCCTTTTTGTTGAAGGCGGTACCTTCGCATTGAGCACGCTTTGGTCTGGTACTACACAAAGCGCACACACAGCACACCCACCCCGGTGCCGAACGCAGATAACACCAGGACTCTACCGCGGCGCTTCTCTCTGGCGGTGCGACTGAAGGAGAAGGGACGAAATAAATATGTGGTGAGCTGCCCAAACATGATTGATTGTAGCCCCGGCAGCAGACCTCTTTGTTACCATTATTATGAGATACATCCGACTTGATGCGACAAATGTGTTCCGTCTCAAACAAACGACACGGGTACTTCCTCGTACCTTACTGGCGACGTTTCGCGTACACCATGGGAGTCGGTGGTGATCGTCTCCAGCAGCAGCAGACTATCGATGACGTGAGGGGTTTGCACATAGTCTATGCATACAGCCTACAACCTGGTGTACGTACAATAGTTTGATGCCATGACACACACACCGGTCGCCCCGGTGGTCTAGTGGGTAGCCTCGCGGCCTGCTAAGGGCCAAGCCATGGGTTTGACTCCCGACAGAGTGAGTTTATTTCTCGCTATTTTAATCCTGGTCTCCGCTGGAAGCGACGCGCTGCAAAGCTCATTGTTAGTAAACTTGATCGACTTCATAAGTCGCGAGGGAAGGGGTTGCTGTACCCTTCTCGCGATAAAAAGGTCTCAGGCAGGAACCGCAGGAGGGGGTCCAACCCCCCCCTCCTATGTGAACCCGGTTGGGTCGTCTGGCTGGTACAAGTGGAGGACAGGGGCCAGAGGGGCAGACGATAGAGTCCAACGATGGGAGACAACAAACAAAAAACAAAAAACACCAAACCCGGGCCGTACGTACCAAACGCGGGCCGTGGCCCACATTTATGCATTGGACAGCAGTCGTTTCTTGTATAGTCTAGAGCTGTGGCGAGATGTTGTTGGATGTCTCTCTCTAGCCCGACAACATCTTGCAGGAGTCTGTTTCTCGAACCACTGTCTTCAGAAGCGTGGACCAGAGCTGCGCCATCAACCTTCAATCCACCTTAATACACATAGAAAGCTACCCGTTAGAGATACCCACATTCGAACGGGATGTATGTGCACATCCCGTTCGAATGTGGCTGTAGACTATCTCTAACCGGTAGCTTCCTTTGTGTGTATTTTTTTTGCTAACAGCAACAACACAGGGCCACACTGGTGTACAATGTAGACCACCTACAGCAGTAGGAACATATCATCTGCAGCACAGCTAACACTGCTGTTACTGTATGGAATCACGAAAAGCCCCAACGCCCTCCCGGACGCACACGTACATACATTTGCACAGTCTATGTAGGCATACCACTGCTGCTGTAGACTGACTGCTTGTAGGTTGCGCAGCAATCACACCCATACCGATTTTCAGAGCTCGATTTCTCGACAGGAGAAAGCAGCGACAATGCCAAAAAAGGGCAGCGTCCGAAGCGTCCCGTCGAGAGCTGTCCGAAAATAAACTGTTCGATGTAGGCATAACCCTAACCCGGGCGCATTCCGTGGTCTCGGTAGACCCCCTACAAGGACACACAACCTACAGAGCGCGCCACGCACAGAGTACTTAGCGGTCAGGAAGCACGCATACATGCTGCAAATCTAAGATCTTGACCTTCTAAGAATAGGTGCCCAGTCAAGAAGACTACACTGAAACCTATATTGCTGTGGGATTACACGCGTAGCCATCCCTGAAGACCCTGATGATGACTCACTTGTGTATTATTACCCTCTTGGAACAGCAGTGCTTGCTGTTGCTGGGCTCTCAAGGGTCGACTGAGCACAGAGGGGGAGGACATGTTCCCTCTAAAAGGGGTCACAAAGGTCCCGTCCCCTGCTTTATCCTTCCATCGGGAGTTACATCTCCCGCACTTTCCTCTGGGAGTTACTCAATACCGTTGACACTGGCTACAAGTCAAATTCCATAACACCAGTCCACCCTCGATGGAGGTTCTCATGTGCAGATACTTGAAACCTAGGATCTTGACAACTAGACTAATTGTCGAATCCCAAAATGAAAGGATCGAGGATGTGGAGCTCCAAAATACCAGAATTCACCCTCCCACACCTCTCACACGATGAGTCGCAAGACCATCGTTTGACCCAACCCAAAAAAACGGTCGAGAAAGGAAAAGACGGGGACTAGGAATGAAAAGGGAGGGACAATACAGTGCCGGCCCGCACTTGAGAATATGGCACTTAAGAATTTGATGCTCAAAAAATCCAAAAAGAATTTACCGATAAGAACACGTGCTCAGCTGCACGCCCTGTTAGGAACAAGAACACACACCTGAGGTGCAAAACTGCTGCTACAAATATGAACGACAGCAATGCAGCGGCTGCCAGTTAAGAATACTCGCAGGGGGAGGGAGGGAAGAGGGGGGAGTGATCCCAGAGTAGAGAGTATTGGATTTGGGAGGGGTACATACCCCACATATCAATATTTGTATTTTTTCAGAGGGGGAGGGTGGGTATTGTAGGCACGCGTCGTGCCCCTGGGTGCCCCCGAGAAAAGCGTGCATGCCACGCAACGTGCAGCGTGCCACGAGCTGCCTGCGGTGCAGGGGGATCATATCCCAGTGCAATCCCGTATCTCATGGGATGTTGAAACAGCTTGGCAAACTTGCTGAGTTGAAACAAAAGGGTCTGATTCTTGACCGTCACTTCGAGACAATCAAAGCACACGTGAAGGTGGGCAACTCCGTTGCTAAGGAGCGATGGGACGCCATCGAGAGCGCGTGGGGGCTGAAGCAGAACGGTGTCTTCGACGAAGAAGAGTGGGTCACGCAGATTGACGGCGAAACGCAGGGTATTACCAGCAGCACCCGCATGTCCTCTTCATCCCAACAAGATGCCGGCAGCGCGCGAGGTGCTGCACCGCCGTCTCAGCACCCACCTGCTGCTGCAGGTACCGCAAGGAGAAAGGCCGTGGATCGCGGGAAACAAGTTAGGGAGAGAGCTGCCAAAGGCACTTTAGGCGGCAACATCTGCATCGCGTTCGCGATTGGCAGCCGAGGACCGGTGAGCACACAGTTACTTTTCGCTACCGGTGTAGTCTACATACACTATTTTCCTTTTTCAAGAAAAACTCCCGTGAAAACGATGACATGATGAGGGCCATTTTTTTTCAGTAGCGGCGCGTAATAAAAAAAAAAAAGAGAAAGTTCGTAGTTTTGGGGCTGGCCTCTGCTGGCAACGACTGCGTTTCGCACGCCGTTTCTTGCTGTAGGTGCCCAAGCAAGTGGAGGAGTGTCGAGTTCTCGTCAACTGCGTCTGCTGGCAAGGGCCAACTCCGGTGCAAATACTCCGGAAAAGTTAAGCCTTTTTCAGATTCGTGGAATGCTGCTGCTGTGTAGACATGATAAGATAAAATTTTCGTCCATCCCCCTTTTTAAAAGAAGATAGTGTAGACAGATATTCTAGTTTGGATGCCGGCGACGTTGTTTTGGCGTCACAACAGTGAACATTCTCTGCTTGATACTTAGTTTGAATAGTCACGAACGAAACAGACAGCTTTCGGCTCTCCACGGAGGTTTGAGGTCGAAAGCGCCACACTCCATAGCGAACGATACATGACATGACTCGTTGAATCACCCCCCCGGCAACTCCGCCCTGCTTCCACCTTGCCATGCAGATTGAGCGGACTCGCGGTGGAGTGAAAGAGCTCA